TGTTGTATTGATAAAATAAAAACTCCCAATAAGCCCCTATAAGTTTGGGTCATTTGCAATAATAATAAAAAAAACTATAATTAAGAATCTAAAAAAATCTTAGAAAGAGATAGGAAGAGATAGTGAGAAAAAAGGGGGATTTTGGTTAGTCTTGTTTTTGTTGGTAATGTTGGTTAGTTTGTATATTATAGTTTTGGAGAAATTGCAAAAATGCCACTTATTATATGCATATTTGTAAAAATGCCATTTAAGGGTGTTTATTTGCAAAATATGCCACTAATTATAGATTTTTAAACTCTATATCTCAAAATTCTAAACACTAAAAAATGTTTTGACCCCTAAACCTCCCTAAACTCTCATAACTAAACCCTAATAGATTATAGTTAACCCAACCATAAATAATATAAAGAAAAAATAATTTTGAAAAAGTGGCATTTTTGTAAAGATTTTAAAAGTGTGGCATTTTTGTAAAGATTTCAAAAGTGTGGCATTTTTGTAAAGGGGCACTTGAAAAGTGGTATTTTTTGAAAATTTTCTATAGTTTTTTTTGTTATATTTTTAGCAAATAATCCCTATAAGTTTAATATACAAGAGACCAAAAGAAAAACTCACACGCCTAAAAACCAAGTAACCTCTAACCCTTAATTCTCATCTCTTCCACATTTTTCTTCGGTGGCGCAAGCAAATAATTGGTAGACTTTTATTTTGATAAAGAACTGTAAATAATTTTATTTTAAAAAATTAGGCCTTTACTTTTAAGAAAATAAAAGTTCCAAATTATATGCTTTATAAAAACAAACGGAACAAGAGTAAAATTAGTTATTTAGGCTGTGAAAAAAAATAAGGAATATTTTTAACACTGTTAGAACATTAAAGTGTGATAAAACAACAAAAAAAAACTTTAAAAACTTGTTTAAAAAGGTAAAGTCTTTACAACTTTAGTCTTATTTTAAACTCCAATCACCCCCATTTAACGTTTGAAACTTTGAATATAGAATAATGGAAATTCATATTTTGCCAGAGATTATGATACATAAATTTGGGTTGTGCATTTTGTTCCCATTAGTTCTTTTATGAGAAATTTCAAAAAATGTCACTTTTCAAGTGTTATTTTACAAAAATACTACACTTTTGAAATTTTTACAAAAATACCACTTTTTCAAAATTAATTTTTCTTTATATTNTTTATGTTTGAATTAATTATGTTCTATTAGGATTTAGTTTTGAGTGTTTAGGGGGTTTTAGGTGTCAAAACATTTTTTNNNNTTTAGAATTTTAAGATATAAGCTTTATAATTCTATAATTAGTGGTATTTTTGTAAATGAACACCTCTAAATAGCATTATTGCAAAAATGCATACAAAAAATAATATTTTTATAATTGCCCCTTCTTTTATTTGTAAGTTTGACCAATCAGTCTTCGTTCTAATTCGTTTTCAGCGGTGGAACTATACTGTTCGAAACGAGTATCTAACTCATCAAATCACTTGAACAACAACTATATCCAAATCCAATTACTTTTAAAATCAATTCAACTGATCAACTACAAATTAATATGAAAATATTCGTTTAATCTAATTACATTACAATTGTAAAGAATTTATCTAAATTAAAAAAAAAGTATCCTAAACCAATTTTTTTTTTTGGTCGAATATCCTAAACTAATGTTATAGTCCTAACATCATCATTAATTTATATAATTTTATTATTTTGTTAGACCAATGCTAGCCGATCTTGTGAAACATCTCGTAATGTAAAGCATTTTAAAGCTCTTGGATTAAAGTTAGGGGCAATTACAAAAATGCCACTTTTTGTGTACATATTTGTAAGAATGCCATTTAGGGATGTTTATTTACAAAAATGCCACTAA